CCCCCCCCCGGCTACAGCAGTGTAGCTTGTTTAGCACTTTGGTTTGTAAAAGCATCTTTAGGAATGTGACCTCTAGTGACCCTAACAATGCCTAAGTCACCTGTGCAGGCCTTTAGACAGATGTTAATAGAAACACACTCTCAGGTTTTTTTTTTTTTTTGAGCAGATAAATTTTATTTAGCTGGTGTTAGCTCAAAAGTTATTGCCAATTAGGGCTTTTGGCACATACAGGGGCTGGGATTTAAACCATCTCCCACATTTTATAACTTTAGCTTTTTAGTACTATTACAAGTTTCTGTCCCTACAAAGTAGATAGTCATGGATATTAGGCATGCTTACAAACTATCTTCCCATGACCTCCTGGCTCTGACCAATTTTTTTGTCCGGTCGTGGGGCCTGAACTCTGGGCTTGGGCATTGTCCCTCAGCTCTTCAGCTCAAGGCTAGCGCTCTACCACTTGATCCACAGCGCCACTTCTGGCTTTTTTTCTTTTTGCTTATGTGGTGCTGAGGAATCGAACCCAGGGCCTCTGGCATGCAAGGCAAGTGCTCTACCACTGAGCCAACTTCCCAGCCCCGTCTGACCAATTTTTGAAGGGCCACACACAAATGACTCTAGGATCTGACATTTCTGTCATCCAAGCAGTGGCTTACTGCTTCTGGATGCTCCTCCATTGCTCTTGTCCCAGGAGTGTTTTCTCTACACTGAAATAAATGCCTCATTTGCTAGACTTGAACTCGGGCCTGAGTGCTGTCCCTCAGCTCTACAGCTCAAGGCTAGCACTCTGCCACTATGAGTCCCAAAGCAACTCTGCTTGCTCTTTCAGCACTCTGCTGGCTGAGTAGAGGTGACAGTCTCACAGGGACCTTTTTCTGCCTGGGCTGGCTTTGTACCAGTTTCAGATCAATGAGTCTTATAAAAGGCCACTTTACTCCAATTAAAAGCAACAAGGTGGTCAACATAGAAGTAGCTCTTAAGCATGCTCTTACCTGAAACTTGTTAAGAGCCAAAGTTACATCTGACAAACTTATAAGAATCCTCTGTGCTTTGCTCTTGGTTTGCTGGAAACTTAAAAAACCTATAAGAGCAAACTGGAATAGCAATTAAGCAATTATTTTGGTAATCCTAATTTTTCCACTTTGAGGCAAATGTTAAGAACAATATTACTTTTATACTTTATATTCAAAAATCCATTTCTATTTTTAAGCCTCCTATTAATCTCTTTTATTATTTTATATTTTAGTTTTTAGTTACATTAAAAAAATCCCTTAAAATCTTGAGGCCAAGTGCCACTCATTGTCTCTTGGCTGCTTGTTTTAAAACAGATACACATTAAAACTTTTCAACTCAAATGATAATTTTTCCTTAATGCGAGAATTACAATCATCACTGTACCAAGAAGTTAAACTTAATACAATTATGACTTTTAAGAACATATCCTAATTGTAGAACATAATTGAAAGCAAGTCACATTATACAAATATATTTTTAACCCTCTTTTTAAGTCCTAGGGGCAGTTTTAGCAATACTAATCAGATCATCACATCACTAATTTTTTCCTTCATGTTTCTAGTATTTATCTGTAAAGAAAAAGGACAGAACAAAGCTGGGCCACTTGGCCCCTCCTGTGGAATGGGCATGCACCTAATCTCACTCTTTAGGGTAAGATGAACTGCGGCATGGCCTGTCCCACCATGTATGACCAGCTGAACTGCACTTTTGCCTGTTTACCCCTTGTCCTTGAAGATAGGTCTTTTGTTGGCTTTTAAGTTTTTTCCTTTTCTAATCTCTTGGTTTTTGAATGAAAATACACAGTTTTAGACAGCCAGAACAGGTAATGTCTTTGACAGTGTTAAACAAATTTTATATTTAAACTTTTAATATTTATCCCCAAATTTTAGCCAAGAGAACTAAATTCCAAACAGCCAATGCATTTTTGTTAAGCCAGATAACTTGATTACAGTTGTAAACAGCCTTATGCATTTTAAAATACCAGATTTTTTTATTTTTAAGTTAAAGAATCCTTAAAAAGTCATTTAAAACAATGTGAAAATTCTTTAAAATTTTTGGTAATGTCCAAACCTCATAACCTTTTGAATTTTAAACTTAAACTCATCCAATGTTACAGCATGGTGATAATTTTTATCTTGAATATGTTCACAAACACATACAAAACACACACAGATCTTAAAGCGCGCAAAAATCAAAATCAGTTGTACATACATTTAAAGCGGGTACCAGTTCTAAAACAGAACTAGACAAGACAACAACCAAAGGCTGAGGTGGGGGCTAATGGGACCCCAGTTTATCCCTACCTTAGAAAACATAACAGAAAACACACTGAAGTAAACAAGACAGACACGTGGCCACAAAGACAAAATCAGGTCTCAGTGAATGGGGCAACATCTCACCACCATTCACAAGTGGACTCAAACCCACTTACTAGGGGACTCAAACCCCCCTCTACTCACCTCCGGAGGATTTTTCTTTTAGATACTTGCAAACGTTGACCTAGGGGCCTTCCAAGGTGGAGGAGAATTCCCAGTCATCTTGGGGCAAGGGAAAGAAGTCCCTAGTGGCTGTCCCCTCAGACTGACAGGTTCTCCCCCATGCTCAGATCCCCTGGGCCAAGGCCCGAGGCTAAGATCTTGCTGGTGTCACTTGCAGGTGGTCAGTGGCAGTTTTATCTGGCTGTGAGTTCTCCCTGCTGGCCCTTTTAAGTTATTGTTAGATCCTCCAGGTTTTTCATCCCCCACCACTCCCCTACTTCTGGATCCAGAGAGGATGGAGGAGGTGGCAGTGAAGAGTAGAAAAGGGGGGGTCAGTTTAAAGTGTACATAAAAATGAAGGAGCTAGAGAGAACTAGATATAGCCAGTCTTCTCTGGGCTCTCGCATCAGGATGGATCTGAGAGAAGAAACATTCCAAGAATTCCAAAATACATACATACAAACATTGAGAAAAAACACATTTACAGAATGCGCAGTGTAGACTGTCAGACAGAAAGTGCTGGACTACAGATGGGCCCAAATGTCCGGACTAGTGGATAGTTTACCCTGATGGGGATCCGGGGGACGTCTCCCACCGGCCCAGTTGGCTGTCTTATAGCGCGTCCGTTGCCAACCCCAATACAGAACCTGCAGGCTACACAGATACCAGACAATTACAAAGCAGCAATATTTTAACTTACAGGCCATTTACATCATAGTGTCCCTGAATCCTTTTTTCCTTTTTTTTTTTTGCTAAGTTTTAAAACTAATGGTTCCTTCCTCCGGGAACCAGGGGTATACTTCCTCAACAAAGTGAAAGAAACATTCTAACTGACTCTGTCTAACTTTCACTCCTTGAGCGTGAAACATACCCTTGTGCCGCTCTTACCTTGCCCCACAATTTTTTACTCCCGACTATACTATCACCCGCTCTCTTTTTCTGGACTTGTCCTCTTACCTTGGCGAGGTCCTCTGCCTTGATCCCAGGTTTTCAGGTCCCTGTTCGGGCGCCACTTGCCAGAGCCTGCCGGCAACGAAAGGGAATCCTGAATTAGGGGGCGAGGACAAAAAAATAAAGACATAAGAGAAAGGATGGGGTCGAGAGGTCTGCAGCTCAAGACTGCAGCACCGTTTATTTTTAATTTTCCCTAATATATACTATTAGAAGTCAAGAGGTAACATAAGGTTACAATAGTCCAGAAAAACAAGGAAATTTTCAGTAAAAACAGTGCAGTAAAACAAGACAAGGTCAACTGGTAGAAAGTAAAACAAACTCTGCAGACATAGCAAAGCAATCCCGGGGCCTGGTGTTTTTTTTGTAAGTAAGCCAGCTCCTCCTATGTGCCTTCAAGTGAGCACAGGGGTCAAGATGACCTTAGAGCTTTACTGTCAGCTCCCAACACTCATCTACCTTTCCTTCTCTCTTTTTTAGTTTATGATGAAAGCCTCAAGTGCTCATGTTCTCATATGCACTAGGAAGCAAAATGCCTACATGATATCTCAGGGTCCTTCCAGCCCTTATTCACACAATTCTATCAGAATTGGTCTGTAGCTTGCATCTCAGAGGTGTCTGGGAGTTTCAAGGTGTATCATGTGTGTCTGTAACTAACAAAGCTATACAAGTTTCTTCATCTCTCTTTCCTTCCAGGAGATTTCAGATCACCAGCTACTCCAGGACTTCCAGCCCCCAAAGGTTAGTAACAGATCTCAGAGGACACAGGAGCCAGTGGTTTTGCTGGTGCATCATAAAGTCCTAGATGGGAGAGAAGAGGGCAGAAAGGGGCTCCTCTTATCACCAGCCTTCCAGGGATGGGCTGGAGAGGTACATGCTGGGGGTGGGCAGAGTTCTACCCCATTGCTATTGCTTCTGTCCATGAAGGTCCTAGCATTCCCCACTCACAACCTCAAGTCCCCATCATGAACCCCCGCTTCCTCCTGATGAGGCAGAATGCCAGGCTGGGTGCTGGCATGAGGGAAGTGGGAATCACAAGTAGAGAACAAGGGAGACTTTCTTTGCTTATTCCCAGCTTCACCTTCATCCTCAGGTCGCCGGGCCTTGCCACACTTTGTGGACAGGCATCGGAAGCAGCTGGTGGCTCGAGTGACATCTGTGGACTCAGTCTTGGACATGCTGCATGGACAGATGCTGAGTGAGGAGCAGTATGAGCAGGTACGGGCTGAGGCCACAAGCCCAGCCCAGATGCGGACGCTGTTCAGCTTCAGCCGTTCCTGGGACCAGAATGGCAAAGACCAACTCTACAAAGCTCTGAAGAAGACACATCCTCACTTGATCATGGAACTCTTGGAGGGGTGATGTGGAGACTATGTGTTGTCTTCACTGATCAATAAGTGAAGTCTGAGCACTCACCTTGGAGTGCTGACTGCTTGACCTTTAGGTACCTCAATTTCTTTTTTTTTTATTGTGAAAATACTGTACAGAGGGGTTTCAATTACATGGGCAAGATAATGAGTAAATTTCTTATAAATCATTGTAGCCTCCTCCTTTGTTTCCCCTTCCCATCCCTTTCCATTCTCCCCTCCTCACCCCAGCCACCCAATCATCCTCTCCCCTACCCACCACCAAAGCTGTAAAGTTCATTTTCAACATAACAACTTGTACATCTCATTGTTGCAATGGGTCCACCTCTATCTCTATTTAAACGATTTGTTTTTTCCCTTCCCCTCCACAAATTATACAGAAAGCAAGGGTTATAATGTGGGGGAGGGACATACAAAGCCACAAAGCAATAATCCTTAAATGTGTTAGAAACAATCACACGAAAGAAAAAAAACATTTGAATACATATCTTATGGTTCATTTCCTACCATAAACTTATCTGACCTTTTCTGCTTGACTCAGACATATACTAGTTATTGCAAATAAGGGAAACCATGGGACCTATGTTTCTTTGGATCTGGCTTATTTCACTTAATATAATTTTTTTCAACTCTTTCCATTTCCTAACAAATGGTTCAATGTCATTCTTTCTAGGTACCTCTATTTCTCCATGTAGAGACAAAAGTGTCATTGGTGTTGTCTTCCAGCTCTAGTGTTATGGAATTATGGAGTTATGCTAGAAATTGCATGTCCATGGCAAGGGCTGCTGCACAGGCCCAGACAGCCTCTGTGCCTTCCACTGACTGGGCCTGGAGGTAGGGCAATAGCATGTTAGGTAGAGCAACAGCATCTTCATGAAAAGCTGTCAGGGCTTTGCAGGCCTGATAGAGCATGAACTGCAGCCATGCTAGAACCCTTCCTGTCCCATCCAAATAGAAGCAGGTATTGAAAGAAACATGGGAAAAGAGTTGATGGAAACTGATATATGTCCTTAGGGAGTTTGAGTGTCTTTTGAATGGGAAAGGAAATGATCAATTTGTTCAAATGTCTGTCTTGCTAAATTGAAAGCCATAGGCTTCTCCAAACCACCCAAGACAGGGCAGATTGGAATCCCAAAGAAAGTGTCACTAAACTCCATTGAAATCCCTCAAAGTATTCTTTAAAAGAACTTCCTTAAAAGGGGCATCAGATTCATCCAGATAGACAACCAGAAAGCCGATGTCCTATCAGGCATGTCTACGGGAGAAGGGGAGGTTATGGGGTTTATGTGAGTGAGGCTTTGTTCAATTTGGCTCAGGGACAGGGACATTTTCTACATGCTTAGTGCCAAGATTGATTTTTTTCAGTGTTTTCGCCTAAACAATGTCATCAGGTCAAGGATGGGCTTCTGTCCCTCAAAAGGAAGCATGCAGTTGGCAAGATCACAAAGTTAACAAAGTTATCTGTGGCATTTCCACACTAAAGTTAACAACACAGCCATGTTAATTGCAGCATTGTTTACCACAGCCAAAATACGGAATCTATCTAGATGTCTCTCAGTGGACAAATGGATCAAGAAAATGTGGTCTATATAAGATGATGCTAAGTGAAATGAACCCCAAGATAGGGATAAAACCCCAAGTGGTTTTATCTTTCTTGCTATTACTTTTAATGTATTTATAATGTGCTATGCAATTTTTTGTTTCTTTTGTATGTTCTTAATCCCTGTTTTCACTGTATTTGATTCTGATGCCCTGCATCTTATATATACATTTTTCTAATGTGAGGAGGAGAAGGGAAATAAGGATACAGGTTGACCCATTGTAACAGTGAGATGTACAAGACACTATATTGAAAAGGAACTTTATAACTTTGGTGATGAGGGAGGAGTAGAAGAGGTGGGGAGGGAAAGGATGGTAGGGGAAAATCAAAGGAGAAGGTAACAATACTCGATAGGAAATGTACTCATTGCCTTACTCATGTAACTGTAACCCCTCTGTACAGTATCTTTAATATATATATATATATATATATATATAAGAAGTTCTGTGGGAAAAAAGAAAATGTGGTTTATGTTCACAATAGAATTCTATGCTTCCATCAGAACCATTTGTAAGGAAATAGAAAGACTTGGAAAAAGTTATATTAAGTGAAGTAAGCCAGCCCCAGAGAAGCATAAGTTGCATGTTTTCCCTCATTTGTTATAACTAGAATGTGTCAATAAATCTGCAAGTAAACACAATGGATGACAAAAGACAAAAAATTCACTGGGGCATGATAATGTTTCTCAACATTAACACAGTAAGGCCAAAGGAGGATTTTCTTAGGAGAGGATCACAAAGGCTCAATAGTTATGTGCATATAATCATATAAATAATATTTATCTAAAGGAACTCCAAGAAATGGAAATGAGAGGTTTTTTTTCTTCTTTAATGTTTTTTCTGTTTTCTTTCTCTTTTGCCTTGTTTGTAAGTTGATTTGTCTTTGGGAAAGTTAAGGAGAGGCACAGAAATGATGGGACAAAGGGTAAACAAGTGCAGCAGTGGTATTCTGTAGACACTGTGTTGAAAATGAACTATATAACTTGTGAGTGGGGATGGGGTGAAAAACTGTGAGAGCAAGGGAAGGGGTGACAGTATTCAAAAAGAAATGTACTCATGGTAGAGGGAAAACAAAGGAGGAGGCAACAATACTCAATAGGAAATGTACTCATTACCTTGCTCATGTAACTGTAACCCCTCTGTACAGCATTTTTACAATAAAAATGTACAAAAATGTACTCATTACCTGATTTACATAACTGGAACTCCTTTGCAATAACTATAACTGTATAAAATATACAACTATAACATATAACTATATAATATGTAAGTATATATAAAACTATAACTAAATATAACTATATATCTGAGAGAGCAAAGAAAGAGGTTACATTTTTCCAAAAATGAAGGCACTTACTGCCTAACTTATGAAATGGTAACATCTATGTATATCACCTTAACAATAACAATAGAAGAAATTTTAAATTAAAAAATTATCCTTGGTTTTCATTCAGTACAGAGAGGTGATGGGTAGTACTGATATCTCCAGTGGACCGTGTTAGGCATGGCTTTTCTCTTGGTTCCATTGTATGCTCTGCTCTCCCAGAATCTGAATGGATTCTTGATGCCAGGAGGGAGATGGAGAATAGGCCAAAGAGAGATGGAATGTAGATTTAGCTGAAAGGTCATGGAGACCATTCAATGGGAAGTGACTCCATGTACTTCCCTGGAGGATTGGGTTCCTCTGCCCCATGTTCCTCATGTCCCTCTTGTTCCACTCAACACTCAAAATATGGCATCATCACTGCTGTTTCCTTGATTGTCTCTACCAACCCACTAGGTGGAAAGCTTCCCTAGAGTAGCACTCATGACATACATGCTCATCAATTTCTTCTCCAAGCCTGGCATGTGGTGAATGTTGAGGATTTAGTAAAAAGCAAATGCTATAAGGGATAGAATCTGGTGAAAATCTGAACTTCTTAGTTGGCCATCCATGTTTGAATGTGTGGGATTGATCATTTACCTCTAGCCCCACAGAGGAGGAGTTAGCCAGAAGCTTTCTGGGAGTAATAGAGACAGACAGGTGGTGGTGGGAAAAACAGTGAAGCATATGGGCAGAAAAGCAGGGATGAGGGATGGAGACCATGGCCTGGATTGCTCAGTCGTCCAGTGTGTGGCTAAAACTACACTACATCTATGCCCTTAGGTTTCCTGGGACTTTCTGTGTCCGGATCATATCCCCTTTTTTATGTATGCTAAAGATGTGATTTCAACTAAGAGTCCTAAAAAAACACATCAAATCCGTTTGGGAACAAGGCAAATAATTCCTAAAAATTTTCCCTTTCCAATGTTGTTAAATACATACATCATTGTCAGTAATACCAACCAGCCTTAGAATAATATCAATATTTGGATCTTAGACCCCTGTCAATCTGGCATCCAAGTGGGGCCCACATGGAGCACTGTGGAGCACTGCAGAAGTCCCCATTCCAACTCCATGATTAGGGGCCCTTAGGAAGATGTTAACATAAAATTGCATTCCTAAAATTAGGGAAGAGAAAAGCAGTCTGTTAAGTAGACAGGGGATCTAGGATTGAAGAACATGAGCGAGATGTTAGACATGATTTAGGTGATTATATAGAGTATCAGTTAACACAGATGCTAATGGGAAGACAGAATGGACTGCTGAGAAGCAGGAGAATGCCTATTATTAGGAGGGAAAAAAGGAATGAAAAGGTAACATTGATTAAGATGCATTGTATTAAACTAGCTCTTTGTGAATTTATAGATGCATCCCCAGTTACAGACCTGAGGGTGCTGCTAGCTTTGGACCTAGATGGCATGTATGGCTTGGCAATTTTCTCATGAGGTTGTGAACATTGAACTCTGTTCTTTGTGCATTGCCCAGCTCTGTGCTCTTCGGTTAAAGATGCTCTCTCTCTCTCTCTCTCTCTCTCTCTCTCTGTAAGCCAGGGTGTTTCAGCCCTCTGTAGTAGTCAAATGCTTTTCAGATTCAAAGGAAGCTAGGGATACAAAGTGAAAAAGACTAGACTAGAAGTAGAGCTCACAGGGAGAGTGCAGTGGGGGAGGATTTGCCTCCATCCTCGTCTCCACTTGCAGGTGTCCTGGTCTTGCTGCACTTTGTGGATAGGCATGGAGAGCAGCTGGGGGCCCAGGTGATATCAGTGGACCCTGTCTTGGACCAGCTGCAATAGCTGGGCATGGTGTCATGTAGCTGTCATCCCAGGTA